TCTGGGATCAAACATTTCTCAAAAATTGTTGGCCATGAAACTGCAGCAAAGGTAATAATAATAGCAATGAAAGCAGTAATATTACATGTCTGGATTTTTGATGATTCTACTAGGACAGGAGAGGACGATCAGTTCCAACTCTTCCCTTCTTTTAAAGATTGAAAAAAGATATCAAGAAAAAAAGAAAACAAAGGAAAGGAGGAAAAGGATAGTAATATGGGAGAGCTGTCTGTAGGAATATTTGTAATAGGTGAGAAATGTTTCGGTCCATTAAGTCGTATACATTTCTTACCGTTATCACAATTGGACCTCGTCAGTACGATGATTGTGGTAACAAAATAATTTAGTAAGGTGTATAAATTAATTAACATAAAAATAAGTAAATCAGAAGAAATCAAAGTAATAGTAGGAAAAAAGGAAAATATATAGGGAAAATGGAAAGTATAAGAAAATGTAAGAAAAAGAAAGGAAAAGGAGGACACGGAGGGGGTATCTACCGTCGCGGATGACGTGTATGAACAAATCTTGGTAAGCTGATTCTTGCATGGTTGTAGCATACTAGTAAAAGGGCAAGACTAGAACTAACTGTATATGTATAGACGTAGAAATATAGCTGGTGTAGAAAAAATGAGTAAGTAAGAGTTAAGACGTTTCGGTCCTTTAAGTCATATACGTTTTAGCTCAACACTACGACTGGACCTCGTCATTATGACGGTCACGGTGTTCAGAGATGACTGGAAGTCCTTTTCTGGAAGGCTAGAGCAGTTGGGATGAATTAAAAATGATAAAATACAATTTATGCCAATAGGCATGTCAGAGACATCAGTACTTTTCACAGTGCCGCATAGAATTAATGTACGATTTTCAGTATATCGATTCGTTAACAGATCTCTCAGCATGTATCGATAAACGATTAATGTGTGAGAAATGTTGGTGGACAAAAGATTGCTGTTTTAAGGTTTTCTTTTCGTTCTGCAATGATAAATGGTGTTTCTCCCTCTGTCTTGGCCATAGTCAGGTGGTGAGCCCGGCGCTTTAGTTGGTTAAAAATTATCAGTTACTTTGTTAATTCCAGTTCTCAAGCTTCACTTCATTGTGTGTTTCTTCAACTGTGCCCATCTGGCAGCTTTCCAAATTGCTTTGAATCATTGCTGCTTCTCTTGGTAGTCGTCAGCCTTTTGGCCATCCCTGACATTCGTTTCTTTTTAGCTGAAGAGCGATTACCATTTCTCAGCGGCGGATAATCTCTAACAATCATCGGAGTTGCCTGGATTGTTATAGTGTGAAATTTTTATTATTAAGAGGTCCTAGTGTAATTTCAGGAGAAATGTAAAATTCGTTCGTGGCAGCGACATTTTAGTACAAAACGATTTGTACTGAAGCATTACGACGAACTGGTGGAAGCTTTCCGAGCACTTGGCTGGCCGATGCCGCAAAGAAAGCGCAAAGGTTACCAACCTCTATTCTTCACTTTTTCTATGTTTTTTGACTGTTTCTGGGGAATAATATTTCTTGCTTTCACAGAACAAATAATTGGCCAACGCACGGGCTGCCCGTGCGAAGATGCGTTATTTGTATAGGTCCCCACAGATTTTTATCGCTAACAACACTGGTTTTCCGACAGATGCTTCTAGCTAAAAGAATTTCAGACTGGCACTCAGGACTGTTAGGAAACATCCCTTTAAAATTTCAGTCTTCCAGCTTCTCAGATTCCTGAGTTAGCGACTTACCCGAATAAAACTTTGGCGGGCCCGTACGTGGGTACCACGCTTAACCGGGGGCTGGGTTTGGGCTCATTAATACCTACTTGGACGGAGAACGCCCACTTAAAATTTCAGCCTCTCAGCATTTCTGATTCCCGAGTTAGTTGCTTACCCGTAAAAAGTTTTGGTGGGCTTGTACGTGGGTACCACGCAAGTAAGAGCGCCCATTTTGGGGATGGGAGCCCGTACATGCATGTAGATTAAGTTCCCAAAATTTCAGCCCCGTAGCTTCTGTAGGTCTCGAGATGAAAAGTCGGTACAGACGAACACACAGACACACACACAACCCCTCGCCAATATGCGTTTTCTGCATTGCATAGCTGCAAAAAACGCATGATAAGACAGGAATATCAAGATCACCCGGACAATCGTTGTGGGTATCTCACGTTAATCATTGTTACTGAAATACTCCCAAATGTTGGACGCAGCTATGCCAGATCCTTGGATCGTAGTTGTGCACTTCCCAGTTAGTACCCCTTCTCTTTCCCGTATATTTGTGCCACTTCTCCGATAGCTAAATCGCTATTCAGTTGTTTTACCAATACGCGTTTCTAGAAAATTATTTCTGTTCTTTAGTAATAATTTTGCTGTGTGTTAAAAAGAAAAGAGAAAAAAACCATACCTACGAAAGTCTTACAAAAAAAGCAGATTTTCAGGTGACGATGGTGAAATGAAGTTTGAACCGAATCATCCGAGTCGCCCTGCTGGATCCATGAAGAAAATGGTGAGTCCTTCAACTAACTCATTAATAAAAAAGTGCCATTTTGTATAGCTGAAAATGGAATTGCGCCCCATCCAGGAACATCACTAACATGGAGTATGCATATTTGTTGTCCGATTAAATTTGTTTTTGAGAATTGGAACTTTTGAGAGGATTTTTGTTCAGAACACAAATTGATTATCAGGTTTGTGTCTAAGAAAAGAACTTACCTCTTTAAGGTGTAACGATAAAATTCGGCATACCTGTTCCTGACTGTTCTTTTCTGAACGACCTGCTTTTAAAAACTTCAGCTTTCATGTCATTTAGTCAGTATTAATAATCAGTGGAAACTAAGAAAATCGTAACAGTTGCCAATACAAAGATGAGCTATGAAAAAAAAAAACGCTAATTTGGTCTCAGAAGTGAATTTGTTGACGCGAGTTGGCTAAACGACTTTGAACTGTGCGCAAAAAGAGAAATATATAAAAAATAAAATTTGAGATGAAATTGCTTGAAAAACAGTTACCAAAGTAAGCAGGACAGCGCGAACAGTAGTTATGCGATGTTAGTAGTGTTAGTAGGATGCTTCCACATGTAGGGCTTAGGCAGATATGCTAAACTGTGGTGGAAGGATCGTACTTTTGAATCTTGTTGATCTCGATGCCCTGGCTAACAGGCTTAAGGTGATCAGTTTTGAAGAAGTTCGAGTAGTACCCCGCCAGTTGTTGAACTTAAAACTTGGTTTTAAATAATAATGTCGAAGAAGCTGGATCTTATCTCCCATGTCGTTTGCGCAAAGAATAAAGCGTCTGAGTAAAGGGATTGTTAAATTTCACCGAAATTCAGCCATCGACAGCCTTGCCAGTGAGTGGTTGCCTATTTTTACTTGCTGCTTTTTACGCAGTTCTAAAAGCCTTTGCTTCTCTTGTGGAGAGCGAATACGAAAAGGTTTTGGGCTGGGTTTTGAATGATTTAAGTTTTCAGTATCCTAGAAGCTCTTGGGAGAATGCCGAGCAGTTGGATTGGTACTGTAAACGAAATCAAGAGCGTGCGGATTTACGAAAAGCGGGCCGTATCCGCTAAACGTTTTCAGCGGCAAACAAATAACGGGAATTATACTGACTTAAAACGGTTATCTAAGAAGTTTATCGTTTCTTATTTTGTTATGTGTGTATGCTGTATCAGTTTTTTTTTGTCTAAGAAAATCTCAGGTGCACAAGTGACTTCAGTTTGTATACTTTTATACTTTAACATACCGCTGGCAGATTTTTGCTTATGTGTAAAGAGAGCCAAAGTAGCACTGATAGTTTTTGCGCGCCTATCCGATACTTTTTAAAAGAAACCAAAGTACACTTGGCAGGTTGCCTGGATGGGAAAAATATTGACGCCTAGAAAGCCCGAAGCAGCTGTTAATTTTTGGTCTGGCTCTCCTGTAGCCGCTTTGGCCAATGTACACTGCATCACCTGATGGTCAGCACAGCGACGGTTTTGACGTTTATTTTGAGGATAACACATGCGTTCGGCAAATATTTCGTTTTATTTTTAATCAGCGCTTTGACAGTAAAGTTTTTTCTGCTTTGGTTAGCAAGTAAAACATCTTTTTTTTTGATTAGTCCACTGTGTTTTTTATCGATTTCACATCGTTTGTTAAGGTGCGCTTGCCAAGCAAATAAGGTTGTTTGCTGAGCAAATAAGGCCTATTTGTGTGGAATTAAATGCACTTTATTTTTTGCAACATTTTATCGTACGTTTAATACAGAATCGAGAATGCTTTCTGTGTTCAGCTTGCAAACGAGTTATTAGGCGACACCATTAAGTTGATTTGGAATTCCTAAAGAGCGGCAATAGAATCAAAAGGGAATCAAACCTTGAATCGAACTACCTCATGCTAGTCTTGCAGGTGGGTCAAAAGCCCACAGGAGTTGGTGCCGTATCGCAAATAGCTCGGTTGTAATGTTTTTTCGATTGTGATTCTAGATGTAATCGTTGTAAATGCGTAAATTTTTCTCAGAGTTTTTTATGCTGCGTAAGTGTACTTCGACGAGTATGTAAAGTAGTTGTTTTTCTTTCTCGGAATTCCCTTTTTCGTTATT